TGGACAACGTGCTGCAAGTCGGTGAGTGCCGGGACGGGGCCCCCGGGGGCTCGTCTGTGTCCGTCCCCGTCCCCTCCTCCCCATCCCCTCCTGCACTTAAGCCTTTTGTCTGGCGCGGTTGTGGTTTGACAGGAAAATCCTGCCCCGGGGGCAGGGACTGCCGTGCGCTCCTTCGGGAAGATGCCGGCTTGGGGTTTAAAGGGGGTGGGAGGGCGAGGGTGACCTCCCCCCGCCTCCTGGGGTGCGTCTGCCCGGGGGTCACCGGCAGCTGCCCGCGGCTTGAACGCCGTCCGTCCATCCGAGGGGGAAAATAGAGACCATCCCTCTTCGCCCCCCCTCTCCCCCCCGCCAAGTGCCCGTCGGGGGGTTGTACGGAGGGCACGCAGCCCTGCTGCCTTCCCCGACCCCTCCGCCGCTGTCCTTCTCACGCCTGAGCACCCCCACCCGCGCTCCCACGGGGGTCCTGTCCTTTCCACCGGGAGACGGGCTTATAAACATAATGCATCTCTCCAACAGCTCCGAGCGTTCTTCTTTGTCCTCTCCATCAGGGGCTTTCCCTGCTTGGAGCATCTCTAGGGGTGGCATCAGCCCCCGCTTTCCTGTTCGCAGCCCCTGCAGGGCACGTCCAGCGGGGCCGGCTCGGGGGGAGCGAGGGGAGCGGCGGGGGTGACAAGTTGGGTGGACCCGCGGGTGGCACCGGTGACCTGGCGTGATGCGCGTGTCGGGGACGGAGGCGCACGGCCTTCTCACGCTCGTTCGGTGTCGAAGGGGCCGTGGGAATGACGATGGGAATAATGGCATCGTGTTTTCTCTCCATGGGCAGGTGGCTTTTGTGTGCGCTGGCGGAGGGGGATTGCCGGAGAGGAAATGTTCCTCTTCCCCTGTCCTTCCAGCCCCTGTCCCCGTCTGAAATCCGCATATATTTAAAGAGAAACAAATTGGGGTGTTTTACATAGAATAAGCCGCTCCTCGTTGTTATTGGAAGGGATTGAAATGCGCGTTCCCATTAAAATGACATTAGGCGAGAATTTGTTTTGCAAATGCGAAATGTAAATTCATTTTGTGCCAGGGTATGGCGTGAATGAGTGAAGGGAGGGTGGTTTTTGTTGTAAGGAATGGGTAGTTCGCTCTGTTTATTTAAAGAGCCGTTCTTCCTTTTGGGGAAAAAAAAGCTGCTTAAAAAATAATAAAAATCCCATTTGGTACAGTTTACATTCAGAAGAGCATTATCAAAACATTTTCCATTTGATATGTGAGAATAGGAGGCAGCAGAAGAATTCTCCTCCCACCTCTGAGGACATGCAGTGAAAATTCCTGAAGCACAAAAGGTTTTTCTCTGAGGATATGATTATAGCCTTTTTTTTGGCGTGAATTAATATTTTGTAAGGGCTGCGTTAAGATGATTAATTATTCTGTTTAAAATACTGTGAAACTCAAAACGAAATTATTTTTTTAGAAGGAGAGGAGTAGCTCTTCAGGAACTTTAAAATTAGGGGGGAGGGAAGATAATAGCTTGCTGAGGGTGATGTTTTAATGACCTGCCCACCAAGGTGTGGATGCAGTGAGCTGGTGTGGGAGTGGGAGACAGAGGTGATGACAGTCGCCTAAACCCAGGACTGGTTCAGTACAAAGGAATTTTCTTTTAAAATAAATTTTAAAATTTATTTGTCTTTGGAACATAGCTTTGATGAGCCTTTATCCAATTCTGTGGGTGAGTGCTGGGGTCAGGTGCATGCAGGACACGAAGCAGAGCAGTCCCATCCCAAAGCGATGTCCAGTGCTGGTATCCAGCATCCCATCTGCCCCATCTCCCTGCACTTCCTGCTGCTGCACCGGGCCAGCCAGAGAAGGGAGAGGATGGTCCTGGCTCTGGTGTTCCATGTCCCCCCTGACAAGTCCAAACCGTCTCCCCAGCTCTGAAACCAGAGCTCGCGCGCATTGTCCTCAGAGCCGTCAGCTTTTTAGATGAAGCAGCACGTTCTGGAAGCGCTCACCGCAAAGTCGGTGGGTGATTTATCTCCCGTTTCCACAGCCCGAAAGGGGCGCGCGGGATGCTCGCCATGGGAATTTGCCTTTGGAACTGGCGGGGGGGAGGTTTGGGTCTTGGCTGTAGTGTGGCTCTTCTTCACATGGCAGTGGGTGGGTGACGCAGGGTCAGACACCTCTGTTTTTGTCCCAGGAGCAGCCACGTCACAGCCTTGCAGCCCTGAGCTGGAGGAGGAAAATTTACATCAAACAAAAGGCTGTGAAGGGCTGTGTGTTTATAGACGGGATGCAAGGCTGAGATGTCCTCCGCCAACTTTCCACATCCATCCTGTGGATGCCTCTGGAAGGTGAGGTGGAAGAGCTCCAGCCACCAGAGACACAAACACTTTGTGGCTGTGTGTGTTTGCAATTAAGATAGGAACTTGGGAACCATTATGTCTTGGGAAAAAATAAAAACTCCAACCCTGGCTTCCTTGATGCTCTCCAGCAGTAAATCAAAACTACTGTTCCCCTCTAAGGATCCCTTTAACGGACACCACCGGCTCCCGGTGCCATGACCTGAGGTTTGCACAGTTGAGATTTTCTGTTAATAAAGATCAGATGTTTATACAGTTGTGTTTCTGACTCAGACCTGTGAAAAAAATAGGGACAGTACAGATGTGAAATTCCTTCTCTGTGTGGTTGGAAAAATCCTTTTGAAAAATTGACAGACAAAATCCAGGAGGAATGACCTTCTGGCAATGGAGGATAGTGTGGAACGGTGAGGGTTGTGCTTATGGGCACAAAGTGCTTCAGGCTCTGGCTCCTTCGTGCTTATAAAGCTGGCAGGTCTGAAAAAAAATATATGTGCCACATTATCAACCAATAATTCCTTCATGCTTAGTAAAACTTAAACGAGGCTTAAACCCTGATCTCACTGGAGTCATTAAATTGATTTTTTTTTTTCCCCTGCTCAAAGAAAGATCTTGGATGTTGAACACAGGCATCTTTGTCTTCTTAAAAACTGCTTTATTATTATGTGTACAGATCCCGTCTTTGTGTGTGTGTGGTGTGTGGGTTTTTTTTCTTTTAATTTTTAGACAAATGACAAAAGCATGCAGGAAAGGAATGCAGAAATGCCAGGCTTAATATAAAGCATGCAACTGCACTGCATGCCGGGAATCCTAAAGGATACAAAACCTTTAACGACAGCGGTTAATTTTTAACAAGTTCACTTGCATAAATATTTATGAACAAAAGTTTTTACACTATTATCTCTTGGGTTTTTGGAGAGAGAAAAGACCTTTGGTGGATTTTGACAGTAAGCTGTGATCTGGCAGAACAAATTCATGTTTCTCGCCTGTGCTCCCCAGTATGGTATAATATGGTTTGCCCTCGAGTGGTCTCGGATGCTGATGGGTGGGCAAGTGTCTTGGGTAGTTTTAGGGGGGAATTCTGCTTTTTCATTGGTTTTACAATGACTTAGGGAGAGGAAGCATCGAGCTTTGTGTTGCTCTTTGGATTGTAAGCAGCCGCTTAGGAACCTACACGGTATGTGCTCCTTACTCACAGATAAGCCTTTGTGCCCTGATGGGAAGGTATGCGGTCCAGCCATAAGTACATAGGCAGAATTTACTTTTGCTGTTAGAATAACAATGAAGCAGGGCTTTAAAATGCTCTGGCTTTGTAAACACTTGGAGGGAGCCTGTTTCTTTCAAACCTGCAATTAATTCTGGATATTTTATCTGATGCTTTGCAGGTCAGTCATGAGTACCTTCCCATGTTTCCTTGTCTGGTATCTATGCTGGTCATGTAGGTACTGGCGTTTTTTAACCTTGCTTCAACAGCCTTCTGACTGGGCAGAGGTTAAGCAAGACCTGATACCTCTAAATGATATGTGTAAATGCATTTTAATTGGAGGAGTTCAGATTTGGAAGCTTTTTATTACACTTCAGTTTTCAGCTTGTGTTTGTCTATGTTTGTAATGATGCCTGTTGAAAAGTAGCTTCAGAGGTAAAAATACTGATGATTTCCAATGTGGTTGAAACCACTTCTAGCTTTTTTTTTCCAAACTATTTTTAGGTTTTAAGCTTCTTTTTTTTCTTTACCCCTAGAAATGCTCACTTTTAGGCAAGCGTTTGGTTTCCTGCCCCTGTGACGTGGTATGGAGCAGAGTATAAATTTATATCCAGTGGTGTGTTGCTTTATAGAGCTGTTTATTTTGGGGAAAACACTTTGATGGGGCTCTCTAGGGTGAATTGTGGTTGCTTTTGTTTTGTGTAAAGATTGGTCTCCTCCTGGGTCTGGGTTTAAAGCTGTATCCGGCAGGAGCAGGTTTGGAAGGAGCGCCATGGGATGTGAAAGGTTTTTTCAGGTTAAATCCTGGTGTCCTGTGTCTGAGTGCTGCTGAGGGAGTTTAATTTTTCTGTATCCTTATAGTTTTTGTGTGGGATGCTTGTTGTACAACATGTATCCAATTTGCTAATTAATTTTTACTTTGTTTTTCTTTATGGGTAGATTACTGGATCCTACCCTATGTATTAAAATACTTTAAACCACATGAAAGGACCTGGCAGAGGTTCATTAGCCCTATCATGATGGAAAGTCTTGTACATTTTAAATATACATTAAGCTCTTTAGGTTTCTAATTATCTTTTTCTTAACATATATAATTAAAACAAAGTATTATTAGGCGTTAGAACTTAGGATCTGTTTATTGCTGCTCCCTCATAGGTGAGGTGTTTCTTGAGGCTGTTCTGGACTGTATTATACAAACTGAAAAAGAAGATGATGAAAACCACCAGAGTTTCTTGCTGGTAGTGCAGGGAGAGCTGGGATGACAGCTGGCATTTTAACCTTTTATTTTAGGCAGATTTATTTATTGGCTTTTGAGTCTTTTTCAAAGAGTATAAACAGATCCTCTGAGGCTAGGATGTCTTTTGAACTAGGTGGTTAATTAAATGATACTAACTTGGAGGCCAGAGACCTGAAAAATAAAGCACAAGAAATAAAATATTTAGTGTTGGCTTCAAGAATAAATAGGTTTGAAACATTTT